TGCAAAATTTTTTCATCTGCCTTCATAGACTTTTTCAATTTAGGACGTTTCAAGGCTGTGTGCACTTTAGCCACTTTTACGCTGGCCGCTGACGAATTGTGGGAATTATTGTTTAATACCTTGATAACTGCTCCAAACTTCGTATGAATCCTTGCAAAAATTATATGTTGCTGTATCTGATACTAAACTTATCAAATACAAATAAACGGCCTCCTTGTGCAAATTTTTCTTTTCTTCTTTGACCAAGAATTTCCATTTTCGATGTAATAAATCCGGCACTGCATGGGAATAATTGATGGGACATAATCTTTTACTTGAATTTGCACTCCAGGTTTGAACTTGTACCGTACTCAGATTGGTCTGTAATTTTGGAGATAGAAGATGAAAAATGTAGAAAGAGATATCGAAAAAGAAAAAAAAAGAAAAAAGAAAGAACAAATAATGGCAGGAAAGAAGAGAATTGATGAAACGCATGACGAAGAGAAGAGGTAAAAAGAAAGAGGAGGAGGAGGAGGAGGTGTGGAAGATGAGCTGAAAAAACACAAGTGAAAGAGAATGAGAAGGAGGAGTGGGAGGGGGAGGATGAGTTACATTATCTGTCGGGGAAAGTGATATTTTTCTCTATATCATTTCTCGTTTCTCTCGCGTTATTACCGTTTGCCGGCTATTTCTGTTTGCTGACTTCTTCCTGATTTGTTTCATAACTGAAATTGCCGTTGGCTACTGGCTACAACTAACATAGATTTCCAGGAAAAGAGACTGTTTTTGTTTTACAAGAATAAAAAAAATTATGATACTGTTGAACGGCTTCATTTTTTTCATTTCAATTCACTTTCTCGGAGCATCTGATGTGTGAAATATGGCTATATCTGACGAAGGAAATGTTGCTACTGCTATTGCTGATGATACTACTACTACTACTACTACTACTACTACTAATATCTTAGCAAAAGTTTAACTTAGGACCAAACAAAACAACGGTGTGTCAAAAAATCTTTTTTTTTCGCCTGACACTTACCATATACTCTGTCGATAATTTTTAATTGTTTTAAAAAAGCTATTTTTAGAATTTTAATAAAACCATACCATATGAAAATGGATGGTATTATTTTTTTTTTTTTTCGGAAAAAGTACAAAACAAATCAAAACTTTCATCTTCATGTAGTTAATTTTAATTACTAGTTATAATTTATCTCCTGGTATCTCGAATGCACGAATTTAAGCGTGCTACTAGATTGGCATTTAGGTCCCACCCATTTTTCTATTGAAATAGATAAATGCAACCGCCAACAGTTTTTTTTTTTTCTTGCATTTTTCACCCGTGAAACATCAATCGCTATCTTCTCTCTTCTTGAATCCCGTTCATCTTTTATCCTTTCCTTAATGCCCTCTATACCCAGTATTTTCTCTCACTTTCACCTCCTGCAACTCACTGCGCACTAGTGTCATTCCCGCCTTGCTTGGGGTGGAATCATTAAAAGATAATAATAATATTTTTTTGTAAATAAACAATTGAATAAATAAACATTTTTGCTTTCATTTCCGGAGAAAAAAAATGATAAATTCAGTTTCATATGTTAGTTTTTAATAAAATTATACGAATAGCTTTTCAAAATGATCAAAATTGCCGAGTGAGTAGACTCTAATATGGATTTAAAGATAATGATTGATTTGTTTTTTACGGTTTATCAACCCTTTGTGTGTTATTTAAAGTTGAAACATTTCTTGGATTATAAAAATAATGTTTTTCCAAGTAATTGTAATTTTAGTATTTTCCCTTATATTTTCTTCTCTTCTGTTTGTTTCTTTTTTTTTTCTTTTTTTTTTTTGCATCAATTTGTTTCAACTAATGATTATCGTCCCATGTGTGTATGTTTTTCCTTATAAGTCTTGTAGTGGGTATAAACACTTTTGATGTGATTTTATAAGCTCCTGGTACATTTAACCCGCTAACAATTTTTAGTGGACTCGTGTAAGTACAAAGGAAAAAAAAGGTAGAATTTGAACAAGAAAATATTAACAAATATATTGACAGGACATTTTACAAAAGAAAAAATGAGAAATGAAATGTGAAAAGTTCAAAACAACTTTAAGTGTCTGGTACTTACATTTATGAGGGAGCGAAAAGAAGAAGTCTTTTCGCTATGAAAAGTCACCGAGAAAGAGATTAATTCCAAAATCTCGCAAAGACAATAAAAGAAAACATTTAAAGACTAGTTTCATAAAGCGTTTAAATTAGAGAATGTGTGATGTTTGTTTAGGCCTACGTGACAAACACATGTGTGTGAAAGAGTACAAAAAGTCACGAGGGAAAAGTAAGACATTGAATATGAACGTTACCCAGTGTGGGGGACATTTTTACCCACATGCGACTACATCATAAAGCCAGAGTTGTAAAGGAGGAAAGAGAATGAATGAGAATATAATTTCCTATTTATAGGCTTAAGGAACGTCCCTTAGCAACGTGTTGGGGTTTTTGTTTTTTTGTTTTGTTTTTTTGCGGGTTTTTTGGGGGTTTTTTTTGTTGTTGTTTTTTATTTTTTTGTTTGTTTTTTGGTTTTTTGTTTGTTTTGGGGGTTTTTTTGGTATTTTTTTTGTTTTTTTTTATTTTTTGTTTTGTTTTTTTTTGTTTTTTATTGGGGGGTTGTTTTTTGGGGGTTGGTTTTGGGTTTTTTGGGGGTTGGGGGGGGTAGAAAACTCAAGTGCAATAACACGCAGTCTTGCTGGGATGGCCCGACGTGCATTATTTAGATTCCTTTAGGTTTTGATCCAAATTTACTGACATCAGTTTGAACTCTCATTCATTCTTCCTTTTTATGCTCCATGTCTTTTCAGGACGTAGGCGATCATGGCTCTCCATCTCCCTCTATCCCTTGCAGCTCTCAGCAAGTTCCTTTCTTCTGCTTCCTTTCCCAGACTACGTCATCCACCTGCTCAAGCTCTCCAGGTATGTCACGCGCTGTTTTCCCTTGTCTCTCTTTTTCCTCTACTCGACCCATGAGTATCAGATTCTTCAGGCCCTCCTTCTTCATTATGTGTCCCAGAAACTTCAGCGGCCTCTTCCTGATATTAAGTATAAGCCTCCTCCTTGTTTGCAACCTCTCTAAGACCTCTTCGTTGCTCACACGCTCGCTCCATGATATCCTTAGCATCCTTCTATAGAACCACATCTCTGTCGCCTCGAGTCCCTTCTTCATCTTTGAGGGAATCGTCCAACAAGAAAGGACAGATGTCACGTAACAGTTCAGCATTCATTTCTTTGTTATGAAAAAAATCCTCCTGTTTCGCAACACTCTGCCCAGCTTTTGTAATGTGTCCTTGGCCATCCCATTACGTCTACGGATCTAAGTGTATCACTTACCGTCCACTGTCAAGACGCTTCCCAGATATTTAAACTTCCGCGTCTGCTTGATTCTAGTGTTCCCGACCTGCAAATGGCATTTCGGGCTCTTCCTCTTACCGATGACCATGCATTCTGTCTTCTTTATGCTTAGTCCTTTCTTCTCACTCTCCGTCGCTACCTTCTGTAGGAGATTTTGCAATTTCTTTTCCGTGTCTGCTATCAGTACTGTGTCGTCTGTGTATCTTATATTGTTAAGATTATAGCCGCCAATGCTAAATCCCGGTAAAGTTTCCAATTCTGTCAGAATTGCCTCGCTTTATAGGTTGAACAGGTCCGGTGAGAAGACGCATCCTTGCCTTACGCCTCTTTCTATTTTTGTATATTCACTGAACTCGTTCTCTATACGCACGCATGCTGTTTGCTGCCAGTATAGATTCTTGATTATTCTGATATCCCTCCTCATTTATTACTAAATTCAAATATTAGCCTTCCAGTTTTAAGGGCTTGAATATTATACCTCGGTGTTTTTCCTTGGTTTATGTGGGAGGAAGCGAGCTCTTTTGTTGGCTTGTGCTGTCAGTTTAGTTAGAAGAAATTTGTGATCTCATTCATAGTAGGAGTTATATACAGTAACGTCTGTCACAAACTGTCCAATAATCTTGAAGCCAATAATCTTTTTCGTTATATTATCTGGTCTATGCCATGTCATGCGGTGTTTCAAGCCACGTGTTAAGGTTACTATTATATATATATATATATATATATATATATATATATATATATATATATATATTCATTTTTATCATATTTTATGTGGTAAAAATTATATTTTCTTCGGATAACTGGGTTTTATCACATTTATTGCTTTAGGCTTTTGGAGGTGCACACATATCCCTCCGCATTGGATATCCACAAATGATCGGAGTATACACTTAGGCAGATCATTTATGTAAAGTAAAAAGAGCGTTTCTTTGAGTAGCGATCCCTGTGGCACGCCTTCGTTGATTTTTATGGCCTCGGAGGATTGGCCGAGACAAAAAAAAGCTTGTGATTTCTTGAAGTCGCCGTTTGAGAATTGGGGCAACTTGTACTTCGTATGATACAAAGCAAATACAAAAAAAAAAACAGTAAAAATACGTATAACTTAGGTGATACTTCCGTTTCCGATGCAGTCGAGCTCTGTAAAAATGTTTTATATATGGCGGTACTTATCAACGATCTGAAATCTTCTCACCCACATCGATTTTAGCTTTGAGAAAAGCCAAATGTCGCAGCGAGCTGATTCTGAACAGTAAATGAGCAAACAGTCTTCGATGACCCACCAGCAAAAAACAACAAAAAAAAACTGCAAGAGAAATTATTGCAAATGTGATTATCACACAGTACATAAGCTCACTAAAAGGGGAGTCTTTTTTTTTTTACAGAAAAGACCCGCAGGAGGGTGTCAGTTCATACATACACAATAATTTCCCCCCTCTGATTGATAGCCAAGTCACATCAAAACTGCAAACCGTTTCAAGGGATATTCAAAATGAATGCATATTCTCCAGATGGATGTCCAACGTACACACACAAAAAAAATATTCAATAATCCACCAAGAATTTAATAAATATGTTTTAGGAATGACGTCACAAAGGTATACACGCTCACTTGTACATGCACAGATCTACACGAAGTCAGTCAGTCAGTCAGTCAGTATCTATCTATCTATCTATCTATCTATCTATCTATCTATCTATCTATCACAGACATTTTCATATCTATCACAAACAATTTAATCTATCCATAGATCTCTGCGTATTATCTAATTCTGTTCATAAACATCTATATACATGGTAACAATGGTCCTTATAAAGTTACTTATAATAATAAAAAAAGCAAAGTATTGAAACAGGTGGCTTGAGATTCGAACAGTATCGGTAATTAATTTAACAATTGTCTACCATAGCATTTTATTGTTAATAACCAGAATTAACCAGAACCATTTTAACAATGAATTTCTGGACTGTTGATTAAAGTGTTTTGTAATAAATGTTATTGTAAGTAACTGTATAGTGACTTTATTGACACCCTGTATATATATATATATATATATAGATAGATAGATAGATAGATAGATAGATAGATAGATAATGAATAGTCTTACATAGATTAAGATTACATAAATTACTGTTGTGTTTTGTCTTAATTGTTATTTTAAATAACTGTATAGTGACTTCATTGACACCAAATATATATATATATATATATATATATATATATATATATATGCGCGTGTGTGTGTATACTTGTGTGTGTGTGTTCATATACATTTATCTATTTCAGAGTGTTCCTTATCGAGCTACGTATTTATATCTATCACACTTTCTTCATATCTATCTTTTTATCCACAACTATATTTCTATCGATCTAAGTCTATTTATATTTCCCTCAGTCTATTCGTATCTATGTAAGACTATTCATTATCTATCTATCTACCTATCTCTCTCTCTCTCTCTCTCTATCAATCTATATATATATATATATATATATATATATATATATATATACACGCATACACACAGAGGATGCGATAGATAAATTGTTGTCTAAATTACGCAAAAATAAAAATAACGCTGATATATCTACCAAAATTACACAAAATATCTTGACATACTCAAAAGTATATGTATTTAATGAAATTGTCATTGGCTACAACCACGACCTTCAGACGAAATCGGAATCTCCTGAAACTCTTCTGGACTGTTTTCTTGTTTAAGTTGGTGAATGCCGCCATATTCCTTGCCTTCAGTTCATCTTTGGCGTTACAATGAGTTTTGTTGATCTCTCGCTCGACTGGGCCCCACACGTAATAATCAAGGGGGTTGCAGTCTTGGCAGTTAGATGGCCAGATGTAAGGGATAATGGCGTCGCAGAAATTGTCTGACAATTGGGTTCTCCTGCTTGTGTAGGCTGGTGCAGAGTTCTGTTGCCAGACATATAGGGTCTTCCAGTAGCCACCCTCTTGACCCAGAACAGTACCACTTCACAAATCACTTGATGTAGCTCTCACCAACAAATTCGTGAGTTCTTTTCTGATCAGAACGATCAGAGTGAGTTTTCCGAGCTGCTTACCTTCGTAATCACTATTAGACTCATCCAACTCTTTCCGAATCCTTTGCACTGTTCTCACATTGACACCCCAGGCACTTTGAAATGCTCGTATTGGTGCTTCCGGCGCGAATGCCAAGCAGTACAATATGCCGCTTCAAAATTTTTGGCGGAGTGAATTGCGTCACGGTGCTTTTTTTCTCACAAACAATGACCAACTAAACCTACTATGCTGTGCAGTCGACAAAACCAAAAACAAACAACGCGCATGCGCGAAATTAAAAATGGTGACAATTTACCCATCGCACCATGTACATACACACACACGCACGCACGCGCGCTCGTGCACACACACACACACATGTATATAATTTATTTAATATACTTCCTGTTCATACGTTATTTTAATATATTAAATAAAATTAAAATATATTAAATGATTGTCTGACTTAATCCATTTCATAATATGTTGTTATTGTTTACGTTAAGGTACGTCTCTTGAGCAGATATGATTGAAAGGTCGTCGAAGATTTGTTGTTTAAAAACATTAATTTGGACTTTGCTAACTGAATGCTTGTGTATTGCTAAGTGGTATGACACGTCAGATCAAATGACGCTTCCGTATATGACACATGTTCGATTCCGTTGGAGAACGTATATTTTTTACGAAATTTCTCGAACATTCCGGCTGGTAAATATAATTAATAATGTTTAATTAAAAAACATAGCATTTACTTAAACAAATTGTATCTATTAAAATAAAGTATAAACAGGAAATCTATGAAAATTATTGTCGGGCATAATCTATTTCATAATATATATATATATATCTTGATCACATCATGAGCAAATAAATTTTTGGTTCATGACTATTTCTTGAGCTTTTAATAATTCCCAACTCTCACGATTCAGGTGTAACCATTTGCCATTGCCATTGCTACAACCTTTGATTCTAATAACATGCTTATCTTCTTCGACACCAATTTTCCAAACAATTCTCTTTCTTTCTATCTCTTCTTCGATACTCTTCTTTTCTCTCTCTCTCTCTCTCCCTTTCTCTCTCTCTCTCTTTCTCTCTCTCTCTCTCTTCCCCGTCTTTTTTTCTGTCGTTGTTATTTTCTTCTGCAGTCGCTTCGTTCAATGTCCCTCCGTCCGTGACATGCGCAGTTCGTCGCCTCATCATAGCGTCTATAGATATGCAAATGCGGAGTCATTTCAGCGCATTAGAGACGAAAGACATCAACAAACGAGAGAAATATGAAGTCAGTGGCGTTCGACAGCGCTGGCGGTGGATGGGAATGAATGAAAATTAAACAAAAAAATGTTGGGGAAACAGTAGCCGATAGAACTGTAAACAGTGAGCACGTGACCGAAGAAAAAAATGGCGGGAAAGTGAGCTTAGTTTTTTTTAAGTTGTTTTTTATTTTATTTTAACTTATGCATATTGGACATTTTATCTTATTTTATAGTGTTTTTTTTTTGTTTTTGTTTTTTTTTACATTCTATTTTTGTGTCAGTTTCGTCGCTTAGTGAATCACTCTTGCATTTTTTCGCATCCTCTTTAAAGATGTTTTTTGTATTTAATATTTGATTTTCGTTGTCATGGGAATCTCGTTAGTTTTTCTACGATGACTATGGTTCTATGTTAGCAGCGCACGAAACGAAACGAGAATTCTTACTTTTAGCTTTTCTTTGAGTTCTTCGTTCTTTTTTTTATTTTTTTTATTCTATTTTGAAATTTTTCTCTTAACAAAAGTTGATGTTAATTCCTTTCGGTTCTTACCATTCAGAAATTCATTCTCTACACTCGACATTTTTGGGGGTCTGAATTCTTTTACGCATAGTGTTAAAACAATTACATATTGTTTCATTTGGACTCTTCGTTAATAACAACAAAATAAAAAAAATCAGTTAGCACAAAGGGGAGATAACTACTTCTCATGCCACTAGAAAAAAATAAGAACACAGAAACTTATAAGTGCAGAGAGCACCTGCCTTCACCATGGGCCATTTGACGTATCTTCGTCAGTGAGGCGTGTTTGATGGCCACTTCGCCATTTTAGCCAACCCTTGGCCTCAAACGACCAGACGGCCATTTCAATAGAGACATTCGTGTCGCCTTTATAGGTTGAATATTCATTCTGTTTTTCTCCTGGCAGCACCTGGATCAATAAACAATCACAAAAGTCAAAGTGAAAGTGAAAGTAGAATTAAGCAAGTTGCGGATTGCGAATGCCTTTGAGAGTGATTGCAAATGGTACTATTCATTGCTTGTTCATCTCACTTGATATTATAATGAGAAAAGTGCAGACAATTTTAGACACCGAAAATTTCAGAAAATCCCGCAAGATTGGCGTAGATGATGTAATTTTTTTCGCGACAGTTTTTCAGATCATTTTTGTTTTTTGTTCGTTCTTGTTCAGATAATTACTGTTTTTTTTTGTTTTTATAAAGATAAACCAACTAAACTTTAGCTAATGCTTTTTAACTTTTGAAAATTACTAGATCGAAAACAAAATTCATTTTGATGATATCTATTAGTGATGTAGTATTTTAGTTTTCATTTTATTTTTTATCTTAAATAGAATAAAATTATAACAAGGAGGAATCTTGTCCCTTCACAGCACCAAATATAACACGAGAGCAGTACCAAATTCTTTTAATCATTTCACCCCCTGCAAGGCGATGATTCCACTAAGACCAAAGGGTTACTGAGAGTGAAAGAGAATGGGAAGACTTTAGGAGAAGAAGCCAGAAACCCAATCCCAAACAGAAAACAAGAGATAAGCCTCTAGTCCTGTTCAAAATCTCTAGTCCTGTTCAAAATCTCTACTCTTGTTCAAAAGACGGGGAAGGAACAACGTGACGTCTTATTCACTCCGACGGGACGAGGATTCTGGTTTGTGGTTATGGCGATATTTCGATCTCAGCGACTTTCTTAATTCTGGCGAATCTTCCTGAAAGGCGGGAAACTCTAGTAGAAGGAACAAACTAACGGCAGAGTAGTCCCTGGCTGCCAAAAACGAACTTACAAGAATAATAGTGCCAATGGGGACTTTGATTAATTAGGCATCCACGCAAATGACCTCCTATTCGCATTGCACGGGACACATGCTTCTAAAATACTCAAAAACAGAAATCTTTTTGTTGGATAGTTTTTTTTTTAAATAGCAATTCCCAATTCCGTCTGGGTTTTGCAGAATTTTGGCAAACAATACGACATTAACTTCCGCGAAGCTGTGAGTCTAGGTTGGGAATTTCAGTTATACTGAAATTTACAGACTCTTACTTGGTTTGTTTTAGGTCCAGATCTTCAATGCCTTCCTCAAAAGTATTATATATATATATATATATATATATATATATATATATATATATATATATATATATATATAAAGTGTAACTGCAAAATCATTCAATTGTTAGATTAAGCTCCGAATCGTTATATCTTAGAAATGATTAAAGATTTCTTACTGGAATTCTCCGAGGTTTTATAACACTATCGGACTCTACTTTGATAGTTGATCTGTTGATCTAAGTTGAAATGATGATCCCTCTTGCTGTCGTGACCTCCTGATCCAGTTTTCCTCTTTACTGTTCCATCGTTTTTAAACTTATTCACCGTTCTTTTGATGATTATTGAATAGACTTTGAAGATGGAAGCCAGAGTATGAATATTGGTACCATTACTGAAGGCGTGAATTATCTTTTTCCTCTCACCATTGATCATTCAGGAAGATAGTGGGGCAGACACAAGACGATTTTAACATGTTCTCTTTCTAACTGAATAACTCAGAGTGTTTTTCAGTGATTCTTACGCCAAATAGTGTCAAGTTGGCTAAATATCTTATCTGAAACTTGGAAAAAAGAAACTCAATTAGTTTATTGTCTTTTTTGGACATTAAACCTTTTGTCGGATGCATAATTATGCTGTTACACGATTTTGACAATTTTGCTGTTATATCCGGTATATATATATATATATATATATATATATATATATATATATATATATAATGCAAGCAAAAAGCTCTGTTGAGCGAGGTTCAAAACCGGTTAGCTATCCCGTTTTTTCGTTTTACTTTTTATCTATTATGGCGGTCATAAAATTTTGTACCATAAACCATATATATATATATATATATATATATATATATATATATATATATATATATATATATAGTTTATGCAAAACTAGGTAATCCGTCTGGGTAGACCCAAGGAGGATGATATCCGGAGAGCTCAATGTAAATTCAGAGCAAATATGTTTCAATAAAAACAGACCACTTTAAGGTTCCATGTAATAAATTTTGCATTCTTTTGTCATACATCTTTTCTTTCAATACTGTTCTTGATATATAAAAATGTATATATCATTATCCCCCCCTATATATATATATATATATATATATATATATATATATATATATATATATATGAAGAAAATATCTGGAAAAACAAAACAAAAATCCTTAAAATGCGATTATGTTGTTTTAATATGAATGAAATGTCGACGTCTGACGTTTCGGTTTAATAACCTTCTTCAGGACAATATTCATTAAAAATACAATTAACATAATCAGTATAACACGACGAAAACAATGGACATAAAAACAAGTCTTATCCAAAACAGATAAATGAAAATTTTAAATGATCAGCTTTCCGTTTGAGCGTGGTCACGTTGTCGTCAAATGAGCGACGCTTTCAAAACGTATTCTTAAAAATTTTTATAAATTTGATTACGATGGAAAGATTTTTCATATATACAGTTCGTTAGAAAATCTTTTCTGTTCTTGTAGGAATACGCGGAGACTAGTAGATTCATGTATCTTCGGATAAGCATGCAGTCCTCCATGTAATAAAATGAATTCAGGTTTGTATTTCCAGTTTTAACACCATTTATTTTACATTCAACATCATCACTTGATAAGACACTGAGAGTGTTGAAACAAAATGGCTATTTTTGTAGTGATTTTATAACATACTTATGTTATAATTTTTTTTATAAAAATAATTATATATATATATATATATATATATATATATATATATATATATATATATATTGTAATTAGGCAGTAATTCTTCCTTCAAAAAATGTCTTCATAAAATAAAGAGTATATACATTTTGAGTTTGTCCATCTTCCTCTCTAAATTACAAATTTTTCGAAGTAAAAATGTTGATGTATGAAAACTTTTATAATGGCTGTATCTAAGTTTTCGACTCTGTTGAGTCATCCTCAGGGTTTGTGGGTGCATTTAGTGTACTATGCGGCAAACGTAGTTTGTTGTAAGTAGTGAATTTAGTGAAATGTTATATTTAATTTTAATAGAACAAATCTGAACTTTCTGGAAGTTTCAACCGTCACGCGTTAAAAGCAATGGGCATAGATGATTTGTTATTTTTATGCAATAAAGAATTACAGGTTAGAACTTTAATTATTTTATCAATGGATTATTGTTATATGGTGGACTCTCCTGTCGTATTTGACGTATGAGTGTCAATCAACTGATAGCCAGACACCAACACATATGATTTGATTATAGATGTGAAGGCTCTGTGCAGAACCAACCACACTTTTTGAAGAACCGAATACAGAGACCTGGTGAACTATGTGCCACAAGGTCCCCCAGGGTTTGAATTCAGAGTTCTCCTTCCAAGGCTATAGAACCCAGTCTGCCCTGTAACTTGGCTGTAAGGAGAAGAAGAGAAATACTTTTCCAAGGGCATTAGCACGTAAGTGAATGTAATGGATTCGACTGATTCCTCAATCCGAGACGCTATCCACTCCTCCGTATGCATGCATATATGATGGACTCTCCCATTGAGTTCGATGTATGAGGTTTCGACGACTACGAACTAATTATCTGCATGTCTATGACAGGTATGACTTTTGAGACTGGCTCGAGAATTGCACAAAAGCCCACAAAGAGTACAGGAGAATGTATTGTATCCAAGTGCAGCAGGAACAATGTCTTATTTTGCTTTTGTGTTTCATGCAGTCAAATGATGCTTACTTCTTGATGGTGCATTATTCCTGAATGGCAGCTAGAATGATACTCTGATCTCTTCATAGCTACCTCATCAAAGTTCTTAAATGGAATGCTGACGCAAGAAAGGTTGCTTTTCATTTTATCTTTATACCTGAGCCAATGTCTACCAACATTTCTATGACCACTATGGAGTTCGCTGTAAAAAAGAAATTGTT